GAACACGAACAAGACCATCTCCCAATGGAGAAACGTCGGATCACCCCAACCATGGAGACCTATTAAAAGGTAAGACCCACTCAAGGGAGATTGCCGCCCCCTCCAGAGAAATTGCAATATCGCCTCTTCGAGATTTGAGCCGCATGGTCCGGTGACGGTGCTGCCGTGATGGCGCGGTAGGCCCCGCTGTGGGAAGGCGTCAATGCAATCATATGAGAGTTTTTTCTCAGAATGGGGAAAGTTTTTTTTTTCTGCTTTTTTTGACAGAGGCTTATGAGGTTTGAAATGTCTGTTTTGGGGGATTATTGATTCAAAGTGCTGGATTGAGGGGGATTATTGATTCTAAGTGCTGGATTGAAGAGATACACGAATAACATGTAATAGAAATTTCAATCATTCCTTATCAATTTTGGCAAACATGCAAATGATTCAAGTGCTGGATTGATGGATTTGATGGGATTTTTATGCAAATAAAATCCTTTTCTTGAAATTTAGAAAAGTTCACGTATATATATTACCCTTTGCCAAAAATTCCAAAAAAAATTTACAGTTTTGGAATTTTTGGCAAAGCTGGGATGTTTTTCAAAACAAACCTTCTTAATATATTAAATTCCCTTCAAAGGAGCTCCACAATTCTCTTTAAATCTTACAAAAGTTTAGAAGAAGATTCAGCCCCACTGGAAACTTTTGTTATCCGATTCCAATACCGTCCCACCAGACGTTCATTAACTTGCAAAACTTTTCCGTTACATTTTGGATGGAACCACTTCTTGTTGGCGTGCGCTATAGCCCAACTAGACGACAATAGCTTCTTTGATGTTAGATAAAAGGAGATTTGCTTTCTGGTTATGACCTATTCACCTGATCAACTTGGTATAATACTGGCGCAAAAATGAATTTGGTTTTATCGAACATGAGAGATTTATTCCGAAAGGAGCTTTTACTAGATTAATTCGAAAAGTCACAATACAATGGGGTCGATGCTCAAGCTTAAACAACACACACAAGTTATCTCAGCTAGCCATAACTAAAATGAAGGACCCAATAACTATTTGCCGGCAAACAATACTATACTCGTTTGGTGAACTTAATAGCACAACATGATATACTGAAGTTACAAACTACAGTACTAACCTTTGGAAATAAAATCTAGTACGGCGAATATGTGAAATCATGCCGCTAGCCATATGTAGATAAGGCTAATTTCCGCAGTTAGTGTGGCCAAATCATTTCTTGTACACTTGGGATCGGAAAGCAGGACTACGCGAATGTATAATTGCAGTTGCAATGGCAAAGGACTGTAAGCTCGACAGAGTTGGTTGGAAATGGACATAATACAAGCCATCAAGAAAATTCACCAGCTTCATGATCGGTGCATTTTGTTTCGAACCCTGTAAAATAACCAAAAAGGCAGACTCATTTCGATCCTTCACCGTGCCAATAATCAGAATATTTGAAATTGTTAAAGGGTTTATCAATCCTATTGGTGTTGAAACTTTTGATAAGATCAAGGGAATGTCTGCAAACATTTACTTGGAGAAAGGTTCCATAAAAGAATAAAATATATAATAATCAGAAGTTGGCAACAGAAACTAAAAATTGAGTAATTCAACAGTAAGTGTACAGAGAGATGTAAAAATGTTTTATTTGGTTGTAAAAGTCACATTAGAATCGCAACAGAAACCTGGAGCACCCTTCCCACTTTTTAATAGTAGATAGATTAGATACAGTAGAAGCAGAAACTCATAACTTGTTCTTTCTTTTTTCAGTTCTAACTAAAAGCAAAGAACTTTTTTTTCTTTCTTTTTTTTTTTTAAGCTGGACCAAGAAACGGGAAATGATATCATACAAACCTGCATAAAAAGATCAACTGATTTGCATTCCCCACAATCATCCACTTGGAATGAAAAATCTGTGCCATTTGACATGGATCGGAGAACTGTTATTGGGCAACCAACATCCCATCCCCCACAGTCACACCGCCCACCGGACATCCACCTCTCAACAAGGCCCGATGGGCCACTGCCTCCTGTTCTTGGTCCACCATGAAATCCCACAGGAATAACAACATTTATGCTAGTTGAGCACTTCTCATTATCTCGAGTGGAAACTGAACTCGACAAGTTCTCCAGAGATGGTATTTTTTTGAGAAACTTCATTCCCCATCCTCCAAGTCCAGCCTCGTTCGAAATTTTGCAAACCTCTTTCACTACAATGGCAGCAAGCTCAAGATTTGGTGATAAACTATGATGATTGTCATGCATGTATTCATATGGACCCAAATGAGCCTCTTCAAGAGTACTACTTGATATGCCTATTTTGGAATTCGATCTCAGCTTGTGAGAGTGAGCAAACTTGAAAACATCCACAACTTTTTCGGTCAGTTTCTTATTCTTTTTGAGGGAATAATTCGACTTTTGCATCTCCCCTGTCAGATTATCACTTGAAACTGATAAAATAAACTGAATTTCTCTGATTTCGAAGTTGTTAGAATTCGAATTGATTGAAGTAGACACAAACATCTTGGCAATACTTTCAGACTCATGCTCATGTGTATTACATTCTTTCTTGCCATTGCTGGCCGAGTAGAAAGTGTAAATGCAATCCAGACCCTTCTTACCACCCAAAGACTCGAGCATTGACAATTTTGCCATGTACACCTCTTTTTTATCATCCACGGAAAAAACATGGCGTATTACCCCATCTTTCCATGTGCTTTGCAGCATACCCTGAAATGATTCGCCATAACTAGAAGATGATGACTGATCAGAAAAACTCGAGGTACTTGATGTAGAAGCATCTCTTTTATGCACAGGTTCGGATAAATATTTACGATCAAGAACTTGTTTTAACTCCTTTTGTATAAATGAGTTACTGTACAGCTCTTGCTTGGAGTCTGTAAAATCAGAGTCTATCCGTTGATCCATGTAAAGTAAATATGACTTTCTGATACTTGATTCAAAATCCAAGAAACCTGATTTTTGAAGTAATGTGCTCCTCAAAATGTTTATCATGGCCTGGCTACCGAATAAAGTAGCAGCAGTCCAGTCACAGAACGAGCTCATAACTACCTCAGTTTTACCGAGCAACGGATACTTAATATCAACTCGAGCCATATTATTCGAACCCATATTATTGGGTGAAATATCCACCCTTGAGGTAAGGTTCCCTTCTGCGGATCTTTTAAATGCACAGTTGTGTATGGATTCCAGACAACGACGAATATACTTTTCATCAAAAGTTGTAATATATTTTGGGATATTATTTTGCAACCCATTGATGTTTCTAAGGTACAATCCTCTTGACCTCAGAACGTCTAACATAAGAGTTTTAGAAGGAGTTAATTTTCTTCTGCTGCTTTTGGACACCAGGCTTTCTCGTTTTGGCTCTCGACTTACAATAGCATACTGAGTAGAACTGTTTTCGGTTGTACTATCTTTTTTCGGGTTTGTAACTGGTCTGTCCATCCTCCAGCTCAACATGAAAATATAATGCGTTAATGGAAAAATATAACTAGCATGCTCATTCCAATTCCTATTATGCTCATCCGCTATATAGTAGAAAACTTAGCAGCAAGTTTCTTTCTATGCAACTTTTAATCCGATCCACGGGGAAAGCATATACACTTTGATCTGCTGGATGATTGAGTAACAAAGAAAACACCACTTAAGCTGAGATGGTTCAAACCCAAAAGAGAGAGGAAAAATAAATGAAGAAAACTCAGGAATAAGATAATTCATAAACCTCACAAGAACATGTTTCACTACGATGATTAGTAGGCATTAGCAAATCTTTTCTTACTAAATATGCAAGTAAACTAACAAAAAGTTTCGCATATAACATTTTATAACTTTGTTATGAACTTATGATGTTATCTACATCAATTACTATGAATAACAATACGGACTGGTTGCAATGTTTCATTTTTCTTATAGAGACGAGAAAAGAAAACGGAAACTCGGTTTGAACTATCTTTTCCCTAACATTAGGAGGAAAGATGAGTGTAATTACCTGGTATAAACAAAACAAATGTTGTTTATAAGGAAAGAGGAAAACTAACTAATCTTGTCATCTCATTTGAATTACAAACACTGATACTTCAATATGTTAGGCAACTGAGAGGATTATGAAATTTGAACTCCAAGAATCTCGGGTTCCTGATGTTTAGGGCATATGACTCAAAAGAATGCAACTAATGCATAAAAGGCAGAACAAATACATATGCTCCACATAAAATTTTTCTTGCACAAAATAGGAACATCAAATTTTGTGTGTGTGTGTGAGTGTGTGTGTTTAACAGAAAGTAAAGTCACACCCCCTTTCCATAGATTTAGGAATTTGGATATGCTAACAACTAAAAAATAAAATAAAAAAGCAAACAAAATGTTTAGAAGCCAACACATGAATAGCACATAAACACAAGTATACAACAATAGATTATTGCTTCATAAACAAAGCAAAATCAACAACAAAAACATAAAATTCACCAAAACCAACTTTCACCTTTCAACCAAAGAATTGAACACTAACCTTAAAAAAACCTAACTTCTATCCCACAATGTAATAAAATCTGTTTATAAGACAGCAAACCCCATCCAAGAAAATCTCCTCAAAATTCATCCCACAAAGTGAAAATTTTACCACAATCAGCAAGAACAAGCCCGAACTGTAAGCTCAGCCCGAAACCAAGAGACAAGGGCTGGGAAAAAAGCAGCCAACTTTACCTTCAGTGTGAAGAATTATGAGCTTCAGTACTTCAATCTTTGAAGCCCACAAATCAGAAATTAACTGTCCTTACAGTTCCTAGCTCTCCACGAAAAAAACCCAAAACAGTACAACTGCATAAACAAATTTTCTATGAAATTAAGAAAAGGGGGAGCTTTGAACTGTTCGCCACTGGCCAGGTTGAGTAATGCAAGAGAAATTTTGGTGGTGGTGGGACCCGCATCTGGACAGATCCTTGAATGAGTACAGTCACGGTCATGGCCCAACAAACCTCTAAACCCCATTCCAGGGACATGCCCACTTATTTTAGCCCAACTCATTAATTACTTCATAGACTTTTTGTTTTGTTTTGTTTATTTTTACTTTTATTTTTTATTTTTTTTTTATTTTTTTTTATTTTTTTATTTTTTGGGTGTGGAATTAGGGTTATTTTATATTTTCAATTAAATTTTTAATTAAGGGCATCATTATTATAATTTTAAAACTAAATAAATATCGATTTTAATCAATTAATATATGGAATCTCAACTTCTTACATGATATTTCAAAACATTATAGTATTAAATAGTTATATATTAACTTAAATAGTTTGTTCGTTAGGTTTCGTGTTTTTCTTTTTTTGTTTAGGTTGTTGGCCTCGGTTATTAGTTTTATGTTGATTATCCTGTTGGGGGCTAGTTGATTCTCCTGTTGGGAGCGTTGTAGTTTGGGTAGTGTATGTTTTGTCTTATTTTGAGTTTCTAGCGTTGTTAGTGTCGGATTTAAGCGGTCTTTTGATCTGTCCTTCCATTTTATTCATATTGTGGCTGCTATGTTCAGCTTCGAGTTGTAATTTTGCACATTTGTGCGCTTTGATTTCTAAAATTCTCTCTATCGTTCCGAAAAAAAAAAAATAGTTGTAGTTCAATTCAATTGAATTTTATCATATTATCAAAATTCATCAAAAGTCAAGTTTAAGAAAATGGTTTTCCTAAATAATTTACTTACTAATTTCATTACATATTCAGATTATCAATCAAAATAGTATTTTATTTCTAGATTTTCTAAATTCATTTATTATTTTTTTTAACTTTTAAAATAAATATTATAAGACATTTGCCTAGGTATAACTTATATAGATCAAGTTCCTTATTAAATGAATTTTACTAAGAGTATTTCATATTTTTTATATGTAAAATATAGATTACAAAATAATAATAAGGGAAATGGTGTGATCCCGTTACAAAACCATCCCGTCGGGGATTTTAACCGTTAGAAAGTGAGCTAAAATGTAGTAGTAGGAGAAGTAACCTAATATTAAAATTTTGATTGTGAAAAATAATATATAAAATTAATTTAACATAAATATAAAAATATTGATCCATAATATTTGAAAATTATGCAAAGAGCAAATAGGATGAGAGCTTAGTTAGTCCAACATGCAAAAGGCCAGTGCAAGGGAAAGCCTCACCCAGAAATTGATAGATAAAAAGAAATCTGTTGCGTCATATTCTCCAACAGGTGACTTGTTGTGCATATGCGATGTGAAGTGTTGTTCAACGTAGTACTTTGACTTGGCATTAAAAAAAAAATTATACCTATTATTTTTTATTTTTTAATTTTTTGACACTTACGCAATTTTAACTTTTAAATTAACAAATTTTGGTATGATGTATATGAAAGTTTCTCACCTAAATTTCAAAATCCTAAGACGAAATTTAACAGCGATGCTTTTGAATTGAATTCTAAAATGGATTTATGTATATTTTTTTCTGAAATAATAGAAAACTCGATAACAAAAACAGAAGCTAGAATGTAAAATCCACTACAATTCGGATGGAATGAGAAAACAACACAGTTGTGGCCAGAGCAATGTAAACCAAATACATAACCAAAAGGAGTCAAACCAGGTGTGCCATCCAGTTATAATAAACAACAATGAGAAAAACCAATGAATACTAAAGAGGATTAAACACTGATTGAGTACCTAGTCCGATCCTTTTTAAGCTTCAAGCAACCAACCCCTCGTTGGTAGAATTAAATGGTTGCCACTCCGCCAAAGCATTCTTCACAATGTAGTACTCCGGTGTCCATACGTTTTGAAACAACCAAATGTTACAAGCTTTCCACATACACAGAAACAGGTAAGTGGACAACTGAATTCTGTCATCTGAAACTTCTTTTTGGTCCAGAGAGCATAACCTCCACCGCTAGTGAGTAAAGGAGCATCTGTTAGTAGTGATGCCATCCCATTTCACAGACGCCAAATCCCGCACTTTCTGGGCTCTATTGCATTTGCGGAACAGGGGTTCCACAGTTTCAACATCCTCGCTATAACAAATTATAACTACCTCCATTCATTTCATCTTCACATTAAAATTCACATGCAACACTCCATGAAAACACTTCCAAATAAAATGTTTGATCTTCCCCTTCACCCTCATCCTCTATGTTTTCTATCTTGGCAGTTTGTCATGTTGGGTTGCTCACTCCTTTCACGCTTATCCATTTGATTAGCCTTGTCGACAATTAGCTTAGCATAAACAGAAGCAACTGAGAATGTATCTTTTCTCCCAAGCTCCAGATCCACTTGTCTTCCAAATCTGGCTCAAGGTTTGAAACCTCAGTATAGCCTCAATCTGTTCCTTATTAAAATATTGGTCGATCACCTCCTGGTTCCAAGTTGTCCCTTCTTTATCCATCAGTTCATAAACCCTTGTTGGAGCACCATGAACCCTATTTTTAAACTCAAGCTTCCCATCACTCAAAGTTGGCACCCAACTATAATTCGTAACTTCAGCACTCTTGCCATTCTTGAGTTGAACCTGAATCCCTTGTACAACAAAAAAGGTTTGACAGTCATTTAGTTGTTCCAATGCTAAGACCCATCATGCTTTATTTTAGTCTAAAAAACAATAAAGAATGGGTAGTACCTATGCTTGAGGACTTTGCTCGCTAAGTGGTCAGGCATTGTCACAATCCTCCATAATTTTTTTATAATGAGAGCCTCATTAAAAAGTTTCATATCTTGAAACCCGAGGCATCCTAGCACCTTTGGTAGAGTCATAAGCTTCTAGGATTTACAATGAATGCCCTTGCTTCGATTATCACCCGTGATCCACCATAACTCATTGAAAAGTTTCATATCTTAAAACCCGAGGCATCTTAGCACCTTTGGTAGAGTCATAAGCTTCTATGATTTACAATGAATGCCCTTGCTTTGATTATCACCCGTGATCCACCATAACTCTGCACAGAGTTTAGTAACTTCCTTGCATAAAGACACCCACAACTTATAACAAGACATTAAAAAAGAAAAAATGCAAAGCACTAAGAACAACTTTAATTAAAACATTTTTAACTGCAGTTGAAAGAATTTTGTCCTTCCAACTATTTATACGCTCTCTCACTATCTCCAGAACAACTGCAAGCTCCTCTTTTAGATTTCTCAATAACTAGTGCCAGACCAAGATATTTAACTAGATTTTGCACCTTAATCCCTTCAATAATTCTACAAACTAGTGCGTAGCCCCGTGCGATGCACATGTAAATAATATTAAATAATAATTATAAATAAATCTCGAGTTCGAGTGGTGGGGAACCATTATCCTATTTCAAAAGAGCAAAAAAAAAATTATAAATTAAAGATGTGGGGTTAACATGTGATATAATTTACCGTCGTATATCAGTTTATTATCAGCAATATAAAAAATTAACTTGTATAAGAGAACATAAAGTTTGCATGTTTAAAATACTAAAAACA